GCAAGGTTTAAGATGAGTGGAGGAAGCAGTTTGAACACTAAACTTCCAGTTTTTGATGGCAAAAGCTAGAACAGATGGATGATACAGATGCGTGTGTTGTTTAGTGCTCAGGATATTCTGGATCTTGTTATTGAAGGTTATGTTCCAATTGCAACAGATGCTACTGAAGAACAAAGATCTATAGAAAGAGCTACGAGGAAGAGGGATCAAAAAGCTCTGTTCTATATCCATCGGTGTGTGGATGAAAGTGCGTTTGAGAAGATTGTTGATTCAACGACGTCGAAAGAGGCATGGGATATACTGGTCAGATGTTATGGTGGTGATGCGTCAGTAAAGAAGGTAAAGCTTCAGTCCCTGCGAAAGCAATATGAGAATCTCAACATGAAGAACAGTGAGAAAGTTTCCGAGTACATCTCCAGAATGATTCTGATCATTAATGAGATGAAAGCTTGTGGAGAAATACTTTATGAACAAGTAATCATAGAGAAGATTCTAAGGTTACTTACTCCTCAGTTTGATTATATTGTTGTTTCTATTGAACATTCTAAAAATCTGGAAACCATGAGAATAGAAGAGTTGCAAAGCAGTCTAGAAGCGCAGGAGTTGCGTCTGACTGAAAGAACTTCTGAGAGGGAAGTGGAGCAAGCTCTGAAGGCTTCTTTTGTCAAGAAGGACTAGAAGCAAAATAGACGTGGTGATAAATTCTAGAAGTCAGAAACCTCAACTTCTGATGAAAAGAAATATCAGAAGAGAAAGGAAAGGTATGACAAGAAGAAGGTTTAATGTTATTGTTGTAAAAAGTTTGGCCATTTTGCTAGAGATTGTAGAAATGGAGGAAGGAAATCAGAAGAAGCAAATATAGCCAGAAGATATTCTGATGATGAACCTGTGCTAATGATGGCTTCTGATTCTGATGGAAACTGTTCAGAAGATTGGTGGTATATGGACACTGGCTGTTCAAACCGTTTGACTGGGAACAAACAATGGCTGATAGACTTTGACTCCAGAAGGAGAACAAAGATCAGATGTACCGATGATAAATACCTTAATGCAGAAGGTATGGGAAATGTCAGAGTCAGAGTGAAGAATAGAAAATACATTTTGATCAAAGATGTTTGGTATGTTCCTGGAATTAAAAGCAATCTGATGAGTGTGGGTCAGCTCATTGAGAAAGGTTTCTCAGTGGTTATGAAGGACAAACTCTTGACGTTGTATGATTATAATCAGAAGTTGATTATGAAGTCTGAGCAGGGAAGCAACAGAACATTAAAGGTAAATGTAGAAATAGCTGAAGCAGAGTGTCTTAGTGCAGAAGGCGCTGAAGGTGACAGTAAGCTATGGCACAAGAGGTTGGGGCACTTGAACTATAAAAGCTTTTACATGGCATTTCAAAGATTGTGAAGCCTCAGAAGTCATGCGAGATATGCATAAAAGGAAAGCAACCCAGATTGCCATTTGCATCAAAAGTAGCCCCCAGAGCGAAGCATGCTTTCGGAGTAGTACATTCTGATGTGTGTAGACTATTTCCAGTATCTTCACTTAGAGGAAAAAAATATTTTGTGTCTTTTGTGGATGAGTTCACAAGAATGACATGGGTAACACTCATCAAGTTCAAGCATGAAGTGTTTACTGAGTTCCAGAAGTTTAAGGTAAAGGCTGAGAAGCAGAGTGGTCAGAAGCTAAAGATTTTGAGAACGGGTGGTGGAGGTGAATATAACTCTACAGAGTTCCAGAAGTTCTGTGAGGAGAATGGAATAGAACATGAGGTTCTTGCTCCATATACTCCTCAGCAAAATGGTCTTGCTGAAAGAAGAAACAAAACTTTGCTTGATATTACCAAAAGTATGTTGAAAGAGAAGAAGTTACCTCACATGTTATGGGGAGAAGTTGTTTCCACGTCAACATATGTTATGAATAGGTGTCCAACGAAGAAGCTGAAGAAAATTGTTCCTTTAGAAAAGTGGATTGGAGACAAGCAAAGTGTTAGCCATCAGAGGGTGTTTGGTTATGTATGCTACAAACACATTCCAGAGGCTAGAAGACGGAAACTGGATGATAGAAGAAAAGTAATGTTACTGGTGGGGTACCACAATACAGGTGCCTATAAGCTTTATTGTCCAGAAACTAACAAAGTTGAAATCAGCAGAGACGTTATTGTGAAAGAGTCAGAAACATGGGATTGGAGCAAGCTTCAATCAGATTTTGATGTAGCGCCAACACCAGGGTTAGTTTATGAAGATTCTTCAGAAAGTTCTGAAGACGAGTCAGAGTCAGAAGAAGAATCTGAAGACTCTGAAGATGAGTCAGAATCTCAGGGAGATTCTGATAGTGGATCTGATTCTGATCCAGATTCTGATGATGATCCAGAATCTGGTGGTGATTATATTTCTGGAAGGGAAAACTCTGAAGACATGGGGTATGGAGGACAAGCTTCTAGAAGTAACTCTGAAGGTGGTAATTCTGAAGGAAGTAGTTCTGGACAAGGTCCATAAGCTAGCATTGTTCGGAGTTCTAGATAAGCTTCATAATAAGTTCAGAGGCCACAGAGAATCAGACGAATACCAAGTAGGTTTGCATATTTTAGCATGTTGCATGATACTAAAGTAGATTCTGAAGGAGAAGTCGTTCAGTGTGCCATGTTAGTAGATTATGAACCAGTGGGTATTGAAGAATCTCTCAAGAAGAAAGTATGGTTGAATTCCATGAAGGAAGAACTTAAGGCTATTGAAAGAAATAAAACTTGGAAGCTGATGAAGCTTCTAGAAAATAAGAAAGCCATCAGCGTCAGATGGGTTTTCAAGATGAAGCTTAAGCCAGATAGATCAATTGGAAAACACAATGTGAGACTAGTGGCTAGAGGTTTTCTTCAGAAACCTGGGCTAGATTACTTTGAGGTGTTTGCGCCTGTAGCTAGACACGAAACAATCAGATTGGTGATTGCTTTAGCTACAAACAAAAAATGGCCTTTGATACATCTGGATGTGAAGTCTGCATTCTCTTAATGGTCTGTTACAAGAAGAGGTATATGTGTCGCAACCTCCTGAATTTGTTAAAAAGAATTAGGAAGGGATGGTATACAAGTTACATAAAGCCTTATATGGACTGAAACAAGCGCCCAGAGCTTGGAATCTGAAAATTGATTCGTTTTTCAAGAGGCAGAAGTTTCAGAAATGTGAGATGGAATATGGCGTGTATGTGCAGCATTCTGGTGGTAATATGATTCTGGTGTGTCTATATGTTGATGACATATTGCTAACAGGAAGTTATCCAGAAGATATAATCAAGTTCAAAGAAGTTCTGATGAATAAATTTGAGATGACAGATTTGGGAAATATGGTATATTTTCTAGGAATGAAGATTATGTACTCAAAGAAGGGTACCATTCTACATCAGCTGAAGTATGAACTTGAACTTCTGAAGAGATTTAAGCTGCAGAATTGCAAAGTTGCTGTGAAACCATCAGAAACCAATCATAAATTGGATTCTGATTCTGATGGTGATTTTATGGATGCTACAAGCTTCAAGCATTTGGTTGGTTCTCTTAGGTATTTGTGCAATACCAGACCTGGCATTTGTTATGCAGTTGGAATGGTTAGCAGATTCGTGAGTAAACCAAAGTTGTCTGATTATCAAGCTGCTGTCAGGATTCTGAGGTATATCAAAGGAACTCTGAAATACGGAGTGCTATTTCCTTCTAGAAGACAGACATAACCAGAATTAGTGAGTTATTCTGATTCTGACTGGTGTGGAGACAGAGTTGACAGAAGAAGTACTTCTGGTTACTTGTTCAAGTTTTTGGGAGGTCCAATTTCTTGGAGTTCCAAGAAACAGCCTGTTGTGGCTCTGTTAACATGTGAAGCTGAATACATTGCATGTGCTGTAGCTGCATGTCAAGCTGTTTGACTTCTGAATCTTCTGGAGGATTTGAAGATTGAGATAGAGAAACAAGTTTGCAATCAAGTTTGTAATCAATCTTTCCAAGAATCCAGTGCTGCATGGAAGAAGCAAACATATTGAGACGAGGTATCATTTTCTGAGAAGTCAAGTGCATAAGAGAGTGTTAGAAGTTCTGCACTGTAGCACCCAGAAGGAGCTGACAGATGTTCTGACGAAGGCAATAAAAACAGACCAATTTCTTCATTTGAGAAATGAAATTGGTGTTGTTAGTTTCTGGTAGTTACTAAATTACGGGATGGTATTAAAGGGTAATTTAGTATTTGCCATTTGTGGATATTCTTTTTTAGGGCCTATGTGACATTCTTATCTTTACTATTTTTGTGTATAAATAGGTGTATTAGGTTTCATTTAATACAATCAATCATCTTTCAATCATTTGTGTCAGCTTTATAGCATTTATCTTTTCTCCCTTCTTCCTCAATTTCATCAACTTGCACCAACACTTCTATGCACTTTTTAAATATCAAATTCAGCTTGAAATGTTTAAAGTCTCATATCTTAAGTCTCATCTCCTTAATGTAAGTTCAATTTCATGGGCTTCTATGCACTTTTTTGAATATCGAATTCAACTTGAAATGTTTAATTACTCATTAACAACATGCACCTGCTGGAATATGACATGATTATAGGGAAGACGAAGTCTTTTTCTTTGACTAAACAAAGTTTAGTTTTAAAAACATGTTGGCACGACTTTATTGTTTTGATAAGAACACGACTTATTTTTCCTTGTATAATAAATACAGGAATGATATAACATTCCTGGATCGTTCTCTATGTAACCATATGATGTAATATTTTTTATGTTGTCGTCCACATCATTGGCTAGCAATACTGTTTCTAGACAACAACATAAAAAATAAACAAACAACATCAGTAATATTGTTGACTTGGAAGTTGGAAAGATAGAGACATATAATCGATCTTAGTGGAAATCACGAAGGCAAGTTTTTCCAATTAGTGACGTGCAACATGAATTGGAAGTTATATATAAGAACCAGCACATCCAATTAATCGCATTCATTAATCTATCCATAATCTCAACAATGGCTGCAATTCATCAATATTGTAGCTTGTTGAATATAATTACGATTACATTGATGCTCACAATTATCGCTAAACCTTCATTAGTAACATGCACATTTCAACCAAGTCCATGGACTCTTGCTCATGCCACATTTTATGGTGACGAAACTGCTTCCGCCACCATGGGTATGTCGTAACATGATCACTACAAATTTACATTTTTTGTCTAATAGTATAGTGTCTTAAATTTCACCAATTAAAAGTAAATAACTGGAATGTCGCGTTACACCTTTGTATTTAAATATTTCTGCACAGATCTAACTGAGTAGGACCACTACTAATATTATTTTTACTAGTAATATTTTTATCTAATTTTAATATTAACCAATTATACCTTAAACTGACATGTTTTTTTATGTGGTAACTAAATTTTTTTGACGGATTTTATAAAGGAGGGGCATGTGGGTATGGAAATTTGTTTGTCAACGGGTATGGGACAGACACAGCAGCATTGAGTTCAACATTGTTCAATAATGGGTATGCATGTGGGACTTGTTATCAAATAAAATGTGTCCAATCGAAGTTCTGTAACACCAACGTGCCTTACACTACAGTCACTGCCACCAACCTTTGCCCTCCTAGTTGGTCTCAAGCATCTGATAATGGTGGATGGTGCAACCCACCACGTTCACATTTTGATATGTCTAAACCCGCTTTCATGAAAATCGCACAGTGGAAGGCTGGTATCGTCCCTATTATATATCGCAGGTAACAATTAACTAAGTTTTTATTTATCTTATATATGGTCATAAATACCTGAGAGACGATTCAGATATTTATGAATATTGTATTTACAATATGATTTGATAAAAAATGATCAATTTCTCAGAGTACGTTGCGCAAGAAAGGAAGGATTTCGATTCTCCTTCCAAGGAAATGGGTATTGGTTATTAGTCTACGTGATGAATGTGGGAGGTGGAGGTGATATAGCCAACATGTGGGTGAAAGGAAGCAGAACAGGATGGATTAGCATGAGTCACAATTGGGGTGCTTCTTATCAAGCATTTGCAACACTTGGTGGCCAAACACTTTCTTTCAAGGTTACTTCATACACAACCAAAGAAACTATAATTGCATGGAATGTTGCTCCTTCCAATTGGAGTCCTGGATTAACCTATTCTGCTCCTACAAACTTCCATTGAAGTGTTGTATAAAATGTCACCATGAGGCTCATTGTTTTCTTTTATTTGTTTCAATGCACCACGGTTAATTTTTATCTGTTGTGATGAATTTTTCATTAAAAAAAAAGTAGATTGTTATTGTCAAGAGATTTTATTTTGTTAGTTTTACAAGGCCGAAATGTAACCCCGAGACTAATTGTTAAACACTCGTAAAATCAATTTTTCTATAGGTGTATTAGTCTTTAAAACAAATTCCAGAATACAAGTTGCCTAATCTGTTGTTGAATTATACAAGTTCCTTGATTTTTACTCCAAGACCTATTCTACTTCAGCAATCAACAAAGCTAGTTAGTACAGTAACTACAAATTATGTTTATCACCACCTTATGCTCCACTTGTGTCCTTTAATCGAAGTTCTCCAGCAACATATTTGAATAATGTGAAAACATTGTATAATTGTTGTCCAAATGGAAAAGTTTAGTACAATATGACGGGAGAAGAGCTTTATTATTATTTTTATTTTTTTTAAATAGTAAGAACGTAGGGAAGTAGGAAGTTCAAGTATTTGTTGGGATTGGTTGAACGTATATGTTGAAGAAGTCTTGCATTACTTATTTTTGTAAATATAAAAGAAGTCTAAGATTATATATAAGATTTAAATTTTTTTTTATAAGATGTACCAATCAAAAACACTTTAAACTTGTATTTGTTTCTTTTATTTTCTCTTATATTTTTGTTTTAGAGTATAGTGAAAGATAGTTAAATATTTGCTTTGGGGAGTGTGAGTGTATTGGGGTCTTGAGGTGTTTGAGGGTAGTCTATGTGTTGTAACAATTTTCACATAGTGATATTCTCAGGTTGTCATTTGAAAAAGACGTGGTGTTTTCTCCAGTTTTGGAGTTTTCATGTTAATTTCTTGTGTTCTTATTTTTTTTCCTTTTTTTCTCTATGCTTTGTTTTTTTCCTAACAAGTGGTATCAGAACCTTGGTTTGGCGGGATATAAATTTTAGTATGTTATGTGCTTGCAGTTTTGTCTGATCTTCCACATTAGAAAAAAAAATATACTGTGTTGGTTGGGAAAATTTTAGTTTGCTGCAGGAAAGATTTTGGTTGCAATGTCTAGTTTTTCAAGTGCAATGAAGATTGATTTAGAGAAATTTGATGGAAGAATCAATTTTGACTTGTGGAAAATTCAAGTCCAGGATGTTTTGATACAATTAGGATTACACAAGACGTTGGAAGGAAACATTTCCAAAACGGACAACGAAAAGTGGGAGGAACTAGATTTGAGAGCTTCGAGTACAATCTACATGTCTTTGGCTAAGAATATTCTTGCGAATGTTCTTGGTATGTCGTCCGCCAAAGAGCTTGGGGAGAAACTTGAAGGACTATATCAAGGAAGGGGTATATTAAATAGTTTATTGTTGAAGGAGAAGTTTCATAGCTTGCGTATGGATGAACATACAAAAGTATCTGATCATCTAAGTGTTCTAAATGGTATTATTTCTGAATTAGAAACTATTGGAGTCAAGATTGATGATGAAGATAAAGCTTTGAGACTCATATGGTCTCTTCCATCTTCATATGAGCATATTAAACCAATTTTGATATATGGGAGGGAAACTTTGAGTTTTGAAGAAGTTACTAGTAAAATAATTTCTGAGGAAAGAAGATTGAAATGTGAGGATAATACTTCATCAAACTCAGTCTTGGTTGCTAGAGGAAGGTCTTATGTGAAAAAAAACAATTAAACGGGTGTGAGATGTTGAAAATGTGAAAAAAATGAACATATAAAGTATAAGTGTCCTGATGGAGCAGCGTCAGAGAATGGTTCTGATTCAAATGCTAACAATGTCTCTCTCGCTGTGAGAGAGGATGATCTTATCTGAAAATTGAGAAGTGTGTCCTCATGATATTTCCGTTGTCATAAAAAAGGACGTGTTATTGCTAGCGGATTAACACATGAGCATTGATGCAAAGTGTGTTGTGAGATTATGTCGATTGTTGAAGATCTTCCTACCAACATGGAAGTTGCACCATAAAGTTTCAACCTGGTTTTTTGACATGTAAAAATTCTTGAAGTGGTTTATCTTCAAGTGAAGTATACTCTTCTTTAGGTGGAGTATGATAGTTTTTAAAACTATGATTGTCGGTGAAGGCAATGTGAAAATTCTTGGAGTGGTGTAGCTTCAAGTGACTATACTCTTTATGGTGGAGTATGATTGTTGGTGAAGACAATGGAAACTTGTGTATTATTTTCAATCAATGTGAAGATTGTTGGGATTGGTTGAAAATATACATGTTGAAGAAGTCACACATTGCTTATTTTTGTGAATGAAAAGGGAGTCCAAGGCTATATATAGGACTCAAGTTTTTCTTTACAAGATGTACTAATCAAAAACACTTTAAGCTTGTATTTGATTCTTTTATTTTCTCGCATACTCTTGTTTTATAGTATAGTGAGAGGTAGTTAAATATTTGCTTTAGAGAGTGTGAGTGCATTGGGGCATTGGGGTGTTTGAGGGAAGTTATGTGTTATAACAATTTTCACATAGTTATATTCTCTGATTTTTATTTGACAATGATCGTGATTTTTTCTCCGATTTTAAAATTTTCACGTTAATTTCTCGTGTTCTTATTTTGTTCCTCTTTTTCTCCGTGTTTTGGTTTTTCCTAATACTATTAACATAAAAAAATAAAATAAGGTAGGTAAAATATTTTGATTGATTGTATCTCATGAAAAATTTATAAGTATGATATTTATATAGAAAATTATCTTATTTGACATAACACTGTGACCCATGAAAAATAATGTATCATTCGACTATTTACGGAGATAGTGTGCAATTGTTCACCATGTGGCACCACATGTTTGGGTGGTGTCTTCTGTTTCTGAGTGTATTATGTTTACTCTATTCATAGGTGTGTAACTTTCCCAGCTCGTGTTATTTCAATATTTGGATGGCTTGGTCATTAGTTTGTGAGCACCAAGGCTTTTGTTTTTCCATGTGAAATGCTCACTCTCACCTTTCATGATGTGACAACCATTCTTGGCTCGCCAATTCTTGAAATCAAAGCATGTTTGAGCATTTCGTTTTCAAATTTTGCATACTCCAAATTTTTTTCATTCAAAGCTAAGCAGTAAAACCACATTATTTCACTCTCTGGTCCAAAGTTGAGCATCATGCTTTCTTCACGTAGCGATTTAATAGGTTATTTGCTTGTACTGGCTCATGCACCATTGCATAAGATCTTCACCATTATGTTTCGCTTTGTACCGATGAAAAGAGCAAAATTTCTCGGGCCCTCATCTTTCTTTTCTTGTTTTTTCTTTCACTCTTCAATATTTTAGAACAAAAGATCGAGAGAAAATAATTTATGACCGTGTGTTACCCATCTGGTTCGTTCAACCATAGCTTCACATGTACTTTCATGATCTTTTGACTTCACATGTACTTCCTTATACATTTTAAAATAGTTCATTATCCTTTGCAGCCTTGCATTAACGTCTCGATTGCTAAGCAACTTCATTTGCTTCTTGGTCGGACCAACTTGGCCTCATCTTATTATAATTCTTGCATACTTGTAAGAGGATGACTTGCCTAGTCTACATCATAGCAATGTGAAGGAGAGTATGGTCAGCATCGTGATGCCCAAAGACCTCTTATGTTGATTAAAGTCTGGTAGAAGGAATAGAAAAACTTTTGGCTAAGCCATACTGTAGCGGTAGAAATGTTGAGACTAAGCCATTGAATTGACTCGACTCGCATAGATCAAATAAGAATCGCCACTGCGCTTTATTATTTCCAGAGGAATGGGAAAATAGCGAATAACCCAAAAAGAGGGGGAGAAAATGTAAGTTCGGGGGTTGGTTATGTAAAGATAAGGTATTAACATCCAAAACATCTACGATGCTCCGCAGGAACCTCTTTGTAAATCTGTGTATTTTGGATATAAATGTTGTATACAAAAAAATAGATTTGTGGGGATGATAAAAGAAGTATTTTTATAATTTTTACACCCACCGCGGTTGCGAAACTTTAGTGCCTACGTACCACCTTCCGTGCAATAGGGGATCAAGGTACTTGTAGTTCACCTTTAAAATTAAAAAAAACACAAGTATGTTGGTTAATTTTAAGAGACAAAACATCATCTTCGTATCCGAGTGGAAGAACATACTTACTATCCACGTTTATGAGAAAGGAGAATTTGCATCATCTCAAAGTGGAGGATATTTCTTAGATTTTAAAATCAACAAAGCGTCACTCAACACCCAAGTGGAAAATATCTCACTTCACTACATATCATAGAAGTATAGAAATTGCGAAGAACTCACCCTGATATGGCAGTAAAAATTAAAGAAGAAGTTTTAAAGCAGATTAATATCGGTTTTCTTGTGACATCAGTGTACCCTCAGTGGATTGCAATATTGTCCCAGTACCAAAGAAAGACAGAAAAGTTCGCATGTGCGTTGATTATAGAGATTTAAATAAAGCTAGTTCAAAAGATGACTTTCTATTGCCACATATTGATATGTTGGTTGACAATACAACAAAATTAAAAGTACTTTCGTTCATGGACGGATTTTCCGAATATAATCAAATTAGAATGACTCCTGAGGACATGGAAAAACAACGTTTATCACATCTTGGGGAACATTCTGTTATAGAGTGATACCCTTCGGGTTGAAGAACGCTGGTGCAACGTACCAGAGGGCTATGACAACCCTATCCCATGATCTGATGCACAAGGAAATTGAGGTATATGTTGATGATATGATTGCTAAATCCCAAACTGAAGAAAGGCATATAGAGGATTTGTTGAAATTGTTTCAACGTTTGAGGAAGTACCATCTCCGCTTGAATCCAAACAAATCCACCTTTGGTGTCTGATCAGGAAAATTGTTAGGTTTCATTGTCAGCCAAAAAGGAATTGAAGTTGATCCTGATAAAGTTAAGGCAATTCAAGAAATGCTTGTACCAAGAATTGAAAAGCATGTTAGAGGCTTCCTCGGGCGTTT